CAGGGGCACTGACCTCTTTTCCCTTAATGTCAAATAAAAAATGACAGTAGCCAACACAACAATAGCCAATTGGTGTGAATGAATAAAAATTATACCATTTTTTGTTAGATCAGCAAAAACATGTATGTTTATTTTTGGTGTGCCAGATAATTTTAGTAATTGGCTTATGTGTGCCATGAGATGAAAAAGGTTGAAAATCACTGTGTTATTGAACAAAATGAGAAATTTACAGAAAATTACATAGAGTATGGCCCACTTTTGTTTAAACAAACAACTAATGAAATTAAAAATAAAGATTTGAAACAAAATGTTCGAGTTTTCAATGTAAATTGCAAAACAAACTTAATTGTCTGAATGCCTTAGTGATCAGTAATTGCTTATTAGTTAAGCTTCTTTGCAAAAGATATTTGTTTCCTCTGTGCCTTAAGATTTTATAAGAAATGTCCAAGGCAAGCAGGCAGGAAGGATTTGGCTTCTCAACGTCCCTACCAGGCAAGCAAAAAAGTGCTGGTGGAGCCAACAACTCCAATGCCTGTGGGAATAGCAAGGACCTAAAGGAGCAGTCCCTTTCAGGGAGGAGCATGGGATGGGAGCCTGTGGGGCCTGGAGCATGTTCAGGGGGTGGCGGGTGGGGGCTAGGAGTGTGTTTAAACTTTGATATCACGCATTTTTCTCTATGATGGACTAGATTTCAAGGGAAAGCAATGTGCTGAAATGTTCCACTGCATAATGGCTATATATCCAGATGGGGAGTGAGTAGAGATTTTACAACTCTTTCATTTGATTTATTGGGACATTCATGAGCAGGATAATTAATGACAAAATTAAAATTTCTTTTTGTTTTCCATTCAGAATTATGGTTGTGTCACCAGAAAGGATAAGATGAACAGGGAGAGTTTAGAGTTTAAATTATCTGGCAAGCTCTTTCAAATTACTGGTTTTCTTTGCTTTTCTGGATGCAAACTCTTTGCTTTTCTGTACTAGCAGTGTGTGGCAGCTAATTCAGAATTGTTACTTGATTTCTTAATGAGATTTTATGCATACTATCCTGCTAAGTTATTATTTTTCACTAAATCTTTCTCCCACAGCCTATAATCAGTCAACTGAGCTCATTTTTATCTCCTCACAGTTTTTGTTTGTGTGGAGGAATTCATCAGTTGAGTCATTGTTCCGTGTCTTCTATTATTAGGGTATGACCATTTGGCATAGGCTTGTTGACAACAGAATAAAATGCCCTAAACAAGCAAAGAATAAGTGAGGCCGTATGTTTGATAAATCTGAGGAAATAAATGGAGATTTGAAATAGCTATGGATTTAAAATGAAAAAGAAACCACAGTTACCTTTTCCCTTGCCTGTCTGCCCAGTCCCAGGATACTTCTCGAGGGTGTGCCGGTACTTCTCAGTCCTTGCCCAGTCTTCTTGCCATTTTTTAGCTCCATACAATGGCTCCAAGTCTGTGATCCTTCCCAGACTGACTTTGTTTTCTCTTTGCAGCACATTGCTTTCCTTTGAACTCTGCGAAGTTTCTGTTCTCTTTTCCCCCTGTTTAGACTAAAAACAGCAACAACAACAACAACAAAAACACCATAGATATGTCTTGGAGTAGTGAGAGAGGTACAGCCAGGGACAGAGTTCTCATTCTGCATTCATGAGGGAAGCCTGAGCGCCAGCAGGGCAGGAGGGGCTCTCAGAGAGGGAGTGTACGCTCTTGGTGGCAAACACTTAATAGCCCATTCTTCTCCAGGTGCCCAGATTGGGAGATGCTGGGTTTCAGAGATGAACTAACATACCAGTAGCTCTGAACTCAGGGACCTCATGGCCCAATTAAGGGAGATTAGGTGTAGGGGAGAAAATGTAATGCAATGTTACAGATGCAGGTGGGGACACAGAGGGAGGAATGCTCAGGACTTCCTGACCGTAGTGGGAAGAGGTGCAATCAGAAGTAATGCTGGGACAGAGGCTTGGAAGAAAAGTGGGAGTCACCCGGCAAGCAAGGAGAGCAAGGCCATCCCAGGTGGCATGGCACACCTGGCAAGAGGGCAGTGGGAAGCTGACAGAGGCTCGTGTGCAGCTCAAGGAGTTCTGACCTATGTTGAAGGCAATGTAGAGTCATCGAATGGCTTCAAACCACAGTCACATATGCCTTTTAGGTCACGATTTGTGAAGTCACCTGTTCAGCTGATGCTCAGGGTGACAACAGGGCTAAAGACGTGGATGTGTGAAGAAATCTGCAGCATCAGAGCGTGTTGAAATGAAGGAAGGGGTACAGGAGAGGCACTGGCGTTTACTGATAAGGAGGAACTTTTGCCATCTTTCTATTTGTTTTCCATATGCTGTACAGTTTTTTGTTCCTCATTTCCCATATTACTGTCTTCTTTTGTGTTGGATTTTTTTCTTTTTGCAGTGAAACATTTAAATTCCTTTCTCATTTCCTTTGGTGTATATTCAATAGCTGTTTGATTTGTCCTTAATCATGGGGATTTTGTGCTTAACATCCTAAAGTTATAACACTCTTAATTGAATTTATACCAGCTTAACTTCAGCGATATACAAAAACTGTTCCGTTATAACTGTCTTCATCTTTTTGGTTATTGATGTCACAAAATTACATCTTTATAGTTTATTCTTCGGTTGACGGGCATTTGGGTTGTTTCCACTTTTTGGCTATTATGAATAATGCTGTTGTAAACATTTATGGACAAGTTTTACTTGTGGACATGTTTCATTTCTCTTGTGTATGTAACTGGGAGTGGAATTATTGAATCATATGGCAACTCTATGTTCAATTATTAGAAGAACAGCTAGACTTCTTTCCAAAGTGACTGCACCATTTTACATTCCCACCAGCAGTGAATGAGGGTTCTAATTTCTCCACATCCTAACCAACACTTGCTATTATCTGCCTTTTTTATTCTAGCCAACCTAATGGGTGTAAAGTGGTATCATATTGTGGTTTTGACTTGCATTTCCCTGGTGACTAATGACATTGAGCATTTTTTCATGTGTTTTTTGGTCTTTTGTATATCTTCCTTGAAGAAATATCTATTCAGGTCCTTTACCCATTTTTAAAATTTGGTTGTCTTTTTATCATTAGTCTGTAAGAGTTCTTCATATATTCTAGGTACAATTCCCTTATCATATATGTATATGATTTGCAAATATTTACTCTCATTTTGTGGGGTGTCTTTTCACTGTTTTAATAATGTTCTTTGAAGCACAAACATTTTTCTTATTTTTATATTTTTAAATATATCTTTATTGATTTCAGAGAGGAAGGGAGAAGGAGAGAGAGATAGAAATATCAATGATGAGAGAGAATAATTGATCAGCTACCTCCTGCACAACCCCTACTGGGGATCGAGCCATAAGCCAGGCACATGCTCTTGACTGGAATCGAACCAGGGGCCCTTCAGTCTGCAGGCTGATGCTCTGTCCACTGAGCCAAATGGACTAGGGCAAAGCACAAACGTTTTTAATTTTGATTAAGCTTATCTATTTTCTCCTTTGTTGTTCATGCTTTTGGTGTCAGACCTAATATCATTGCCCAATATAAGGTCAGGAAGATTCACCTCTATGTTTTCTTCTAAGAGTTGAACAGTTTCAGCTCTTACATTTAGGCTTTGATCCATATATGGGATGAGGTAAGAATCCAACTTTATTCTTTTACATATGAATAACGAGTTGTCTCAGCTTCATTTATTGATAGTACTATTTTTTCTCCATTGAGGGGTCATGGCACCTTTGTTGAAAATAAATTGACAACAGACACATAGGCTAATTTCTGGACTCTTAATACTATACCGTTCTATTAAATATATTCTAAATGTCTGCACTTATGCAAGTACTACATTGTTTTGATTACCATTGCTTAGTAGTCAGTTTGAAATCCTACTTTATTCTTCTTTCTCAGGAGTATTTTGATTATTTGGTGTCCCTTACAATTCCATCTGATTAGAACCAGCTTGTCAATTTCTGCAAAGAAGTAAGCTGGGATTCTGATAGGAATTGCACTGAATCTGTAGGCCAGTTTGGAGAATATTGCTATCTTAACAATATTGAGTCTTCTGAACCATGAACATGAGATTTTTTCCCATTTATTTAGATCTTCTTTACTTTATTTCAATGATATTTTGTAGTTTTTCAGAATATAATTTTGCGCTTCCTTTGTTAAATTTATTCACAAGTATTTTATTCTGTTTGATACTTTTGTGAGTAGAATTATATTAATTTCATTTTCAGATTGTTCATTGCAAGTATATGAAAATACAAGAGACTTTTATATGTTGATCTTGTATCCTGCTACCGTGTTGAACTTGTGTATTGGGTCTAATAGCTTATTTTTTTAGTGGTTTCCTTAGGATTTTCTATATGCAAGATCATATCATCTGTGAATAGAGACAGCTTTATTTCTTTCTTCCCAGTTGGGATGCCTTTTATTTCATGTCCAATAAGGCTTGGACTTCTCCACACTAGGCTGCAAATGATGTTATTTCCTTTTGGGGTGAGATCAGGAGCTCTCTGTGCTCCGGTCTGCTTCTCTCCCTGGGTAAAATCTCAGAGCACTGGAGCTGAAGTGGGGACAATGGTAAGCTTCTCTCTGAGTGATACCGGGGATTAACTGTTAGACTAGGCCCCTTCATCACAGCTTTAAGGTAATCAATACTGAACAGTGATTTTACACTCAGATTAAATATCTGTCTTTAAAGTGGAAAGTGATGCTAGATCTAATGTAAACTGTCCAAGGAAAATGGAGGTTGACCCATAGCTCCAGATTTTAATGACAGCAACTGGATAGTGGGGTGCAACTAGGAGGCACAGGATGTTCCTGACACCCAGGCCGACTCCACTTGCCCCAAACCTTCCTGAGTGAAGTCACGTCTCAGGTAAAACATGGACCACAGAGAAAAAGGCCATTCATTCTCTGGCATGTGGTTAAGGGAGGACGGAAATGCCTCACTCTGTCTCATGGGCAACTCTTCCGGGTGGTTCTGGGCCCCAGTTACCTCCTGTGTGTGTAGTCATCTCTGCTGTCAGTCTGTCCCCTGGTCCTCATGATGCAGGCCACCTTCTCCAGCAGCAGGCGGTTGTCCCTGTCGATGATGGAGAGCCTCTCCTCCTCCAGCTGTGGGCAGACACAGGAGCTCTACAAGCACCAGCTGCATCTGTGCTATTACTGTGCACAGAGTTATCCAGAGGATCCCTCAACCCCTTAGACTTGAGCACCCTGTGGGTTTCCCATTGCCCCCAAGCTCCAGCATGAGTGTGATGTGTGCAGGCTCCTTGGTCTCTGAATTGGAAACCATTAGGATGGAGCCAAATCTCATATGCTCAGGGTGAAAGTCACAGAAAGGATGATATGATTCTTTGTGAAAGTATGTCATCCTCTAAAACTCTGACCTGTGTCAGTGATGCTACTGAGGAAATCACTTTATATTTTAAGAAAGATATCTTATACTGCTCAGAAGAAAAGATTTAAGCCCAGGGAAAACAACAGCCCTCTTGTTTTAGGTTTTTACATTGATTGATCTGTTGATTTGCTAGAAAGTGGTTACATAGTTTTTGTTCTGCTAATTTAGGATAGTATTACTTAACAGGAACATAAAAAGCACATAGTGGTTTGCTTTTGGGGGCATTATTATCAGCATAACCTGTGTGATTCTTAGTTTCACTTGATGGCTTAAGCATCAAGAAATATATATTCTGAGGTGGCCATGAAATGGCCTGGTATAAAGAAATGATGCTAATTACTTAATTACTGAATAACTAAATCACCACTGTGAATTTCCTCTCCTCCCCCTCCCCCTTTTCCTCAAAGCATGATGGATCAACATGAAGACTAGAGAAAGATTCCTGGTGCAATTCCCGCCAGTTCCATTTGGAGCGTGACAAGGTTAATTGGTTGCCTAGACAGCATTTTATCTTTGATAGTGACTTGTTTATTCCTCACTGAGCCTGCCTTTTCTATTTTCCTGGGTTTTGAAGCTGACATTTTCTAGTTAGCTATGATGGTAGCTAAGAAGTAAAATGGAAAGATACCTTCAGCTTCTTGAGGTTCAGGTGGAAGTGGCTGAGAAACAGCGGGGCACGGGTGTCCACGAGGGGCTGGGCCTCCCGGACCTGCGGCACAGAGCGGGCCTCAGGCACACTTGTAGTAGATAATTAATGTCAGCTTAGACTGCGCAGCTTCTGGGTTGCTGGCACTGGGGACATGTATAGATCAGTATTCCTGGCACCAAAGCTTCTAAGTTGGCTGTGGTAGAAAGTTCTGAATGAGGCTCAGGACTTGATTCAGAATCCAAATATCCCCTGGAGGAATCAGGCAGCCCTCAAAAATGAGCCTATTGTGTCATTTTCAAGTAGAGAATTAAATGGGTACAGAGTGAGGTTTCATTAACCACAACCATCTGCTGACATTTCTGTTTTGCACTCTGTTGCCAAGTCCTTTAAGACAGTGAATTATGTCCCTGTACTCACCTCACCCTAATCTCTGAGCCTCCAGCAATATTTTTAGGATGAGCGCCTTCAACATTGATTAACTGCAAAATGACCCCTGCAGAGTTTCCTATCAGAAAATGTATAAGCAAGCGAAGAAATGTATGTTTTAAAATGTGATGGACTAAACACATGAGGGCTATTTGGCATTTGCAATAAAAAGGAATCCCCCCAGATTCTATACAGATACTTGCTTATAGATATCACTAACCACTGGGACCTATTAGCCGATAATCTGAGAGGGACAGCATTGGGAAGCTCCACAGCTGAGTCTGCTGAAATGATAATGTAAGCACCATGCACTCTGGGAATCAAACCCCCAGAGATGGAACAGAGCCCATGTGTGGAGAGCCAAGGGATGGTGAAAGGGCTGGATGGTGAGAGGGTTTGAATCACACACTCGTTCTGGAATGCTTTTAACATTTCATTTTGTTTTATAACATGTAACATGTTTACATGGCTCCAAAGTCAAATCTGTCAAACAGCTTCTTTTACTAAGTGGTCTGAGCCCTACCATCTTCACCCTATTCCCTATTGACAAATCTTCTAACTTTATAGTGATTCCTTTCATTTCTGAAAATATGAAGATACATAATATATATACATCCTATATAATAAAAGGCTAATATGCAAATCGACTGAACCACAGAATGATGGGTCACTATGACACGCACTGACCACCAAGGGGCAGACACTCAATGCAGGAGCTGCCCCCTGGTGGTCAGTGAGCTCCCACAGGGGGAATGCCTCTCAGTCAGAAGCCGGGCTCATGGCTGGTGAGTGCAGGGGTGGTGGCGGGAGCCTCTCTCACCTCCACGGCAGCGCTAAGGATATCTAACTGCCTAAGCTGTCAGTTGGACATCCCCCAAGGACTTCTGGACTGCAAGTGAGTGCAGGCCTGGCTAAGGGCACCACCCCCCCAAATGCACGAATTTTGTGCACCAGGCCTCTAGTATATATATCACATTTTCATACCCTTTTTTTAATTTTTATTTATAATTATTATTTTAATCTTTATTGTTAAAATTATTACATAGGTCCTTCTTCCCCCCTATTAACCTCTCCCAGCTGGCTCCTGTCCCCCCTCCAGATCCCCACCACTCCATTATCTGTGCCCATGGGTTATGCATATATGAGTACAAGTTCATTGGTTGATTTCTTCCCACCCACTCTCCTCTGCCTCCCCTCTTCACTCCCTATTTTTAGATATAAAGAGCACATTTTACACATTTTCATCCATTGTTTTTTTCAAAATACATTCTAGAGATAACTTTATAGTACTATATACAGCTGTTTTTCATCCGTTTTTATACCTGTATAATACTTCACTGTGTGAAAGCATCCTAATTTATTCACCCAGCTCACTTTTGATGGGCAGTTTGGTTAGTTCCAATTTTGCTATTACAAATAATGCTGCAATTAGAATCTTTTGCAATTTCTTCATGTATCTTTGCCAGTGTACCTCCGGAGTGGATACTAAGAAATGGACTGCTGGGTAAAGGAAAAATGGGTGTATAATTTCATTAGACATTGCTAAATCACCCCCTAACCTCTCCCCGGCTACACACACACAGGGCTATGCCCTTTTGCCCACCAGAGCGCTACCAACAAGTTTGGGAACTTATGCCAATCTAATAGTTAAGAAATGGCATTAGAGTGCAAGTTTAATTTGCATTTCTCTATTACAAGTGAAGTTGATAATCTTTTTATAGGTTAAGAGCTATTTGCAGTTCTTTTTCTGTGAACTTTTGTTCATATCACTTGTCCATTTTCATATGGGGTTGTTTGCATTTTTCTTTTTCTTTTTATAAATCCTTTATACATAAGGATATTTTAATATGTTTTTAAAAATATAGTTTTATTGATTTCAGGGAGGAAAAGAGAGGGAGAGAGAGAGATAGAAACATCAATGATGAGAGAGAATCATCAATCGGCAGCTTCCTGCACACCCCCTACTAGAGATTGAGCCTGCAACCCAGGCATGTGCCCTGACCCAGAATCAAACCAGTGACTTCAAGGTTAATGGGTCAATGACTGAAAATCCATTGAGCCACACCAGCCGTGCTATACATAAGGATATTAACCCTTTGTCTGTGATATAATTTGTAATTACTTTCCCCAACTATATTTATTTTTTCATTGATTCTTTTAGATCCATCAGTTATTTAATCATTTCATCCACACATAGAAAACAACCCCAATACCTATTTTCTTGCCTAATGGATTTGTCTTGTCTACTTGTATTGGCTAATACCTCCAACACAATTTTAAAAAACATATAAGAGATAGTAGGCATACTTGTCTTATTTCCTACTTTATAGGGAACACTTTTAGTGTTTCCCTGTTTATTAAGATACTGGCTTAGGGATGAGATATTTATATTGTAAATTATTATGTTAGAGAAATAGCAATTTGTATTTTATTAAGGTTACTTTAATTTTATTTTAACATAAATGTGTAATCAAGTGTAAGGTAGAAGGCTCTGTTGAGATGCCAGGATGAGACATGGTTCTCTCCTTCAAGTCTATTTTCTCCCCTCTATTGCATCAAAGTCCCTTCTATTCCCAGATTTCTCAGCCAAGCAGTAAGAAACAAAATTACTTTAAAGAACTGACTTCCCCTATTCTTAATATAGAAGAATTTGTTCTAAGTCAAGTTGTTGTTTTTTTAAACCCTCACCTGAGGACATGCTTTGACAGAGGGAAGGAGGGAGGGGAGAAGAGAAGGAAAAAATACTGATGTGAGAAAGAAACATTGATCAGTTGCCTTCCATATGCTCCCCAGCTGGGTATTAAACCCACAACCCAGGTATGTGCCCTGACAGGGAATTGAACCAGCAACCTTTTGGTGCACAGGACAACGCTCAACCAATTGAGCCACTCTGGCTGGTCTAGCCAAGCTTTAATGCCATGGAGTGTAAAAGGGTCTTGCTGTTTCTTCCCTGCTGCCTCCAGGTAGAGCAGGGTGTCTCCCACACCCACAGCCCTCATTCCTCCTCACCCACGTTCTGCTGCAAGCCTGTTTCCTCTCATTCACTGGGGCCTTTAGCATCTGGACCACAGTTTTGTCTTCCCCTAAATGAGTTCTACACCATGGGGACAGCTGCGCCAGGTCTCAGGCATCGTCCTCACAGGAACCACCCCTTTGGGAAGCTGTGCTTCAGTTGTCCATTCTTCACCCACAGTCCCTTTCTTTTCAGCTTTCTTAGTTGACTGTGCTCAAGAGTGACTCCTTGACCTTATGTGGCTCCCAGCATCTCACCTTGACTGACTCCCCCTCTTTATTTCATCCCCTTCCAGGTAAGATCTGTGGCCCTCCCTTTAACTCCTCATGCCAGGATCACTGGCTCCTTGGCCCCATGCCCTGCTGCTGACCACGAGCTGTATTGGGGTGTGCCAGCACTCCATTGTTAGCCCCAGCAACCATGTGTTTCTGGGACATCGTAGAACTGCATGAGTCAGTGTTATGTGAGTTTATGCTCCCCACCCACACCTGGGGCCCATGCCAACTGTCAACACACTCTCCATTCAATCAGCTCTCCACTTTCCACACTGACTCTTTTGAATCTTCCTCACCTTACAGTTTCTTAGGCACAGGTTACTCATGTTTACTGGGGGTGTTTATCAACCATCTCTTATCAGGGACGATTCTAGTCCCTGGGATACAAAAATGAACAACACAACACCCATGGTGTTTACAGTCTTGTCTATTATTCAAAAAGGTGATGCTAATTGGTTTATACTTGTTACTGTCATGCATACCCTTTTCTTTTTTAAAAAATATATTTTTATTGATTTCAGAGAGGAAAGGAGAGGGAGAGAGATAGGAACATCGATGATGAGAGAGAATCATCGACTGGCATGTGCCCTTGACCGGAATCGAACTGTGACTTCCTGGTTCATAGGTCGACACTCAACCACTGAGCCACAGTGGCCAGTCATGAATACCTTTTTCAGTCTTTCCCTGGCAACAACGATGTACTAAGCGGGTACTGTGTGCTCTAGGTGCTGAGAATATCTTGGTGACAGGACACAGCCACCCCCTCACAGGCTGGGGGAAACAAACAAAATAATAAATCTGTTACATCAGTCATGAAGCAACACGAGACAGCAGAACAAGAGACTACAGAGCCGTGTGGAGATGTGCTTCTTAGGCACAGACAAGACTTCCAGGAAGGCCAGAGGTCTAGGAAGTGAGGGTGAGCCCTGGAACAGCTGGGCGAAGAGTGCTCAGTGGGACTCTCAAGGAGCACAATGGGTTCAGGGCCCAGTTGTGCATGTGGGCACCGGGCCAGCCTTGTAGTAAGTGCCACCTAAGCCTCCCTGAGGCCACCATGTCACACCACAACCCAGCTGGGCACAACCCTGAAGGAGTAGAAAGGCTTGCCTGGGTCTCGTTATCCTGCAGAAACCTTGGCTCTACTGCCTGGGGGGATCGCTACAGACAATCCCAGAGAACAGTCTGTACCAGAACATCCCCTCAGAGCATTTCTCAACCTGCATGAACACTGCTGTGGAGACATGACCAACCCAGCACTGAGCAGTCGGATGGCTCCCCTGAAGTCTCATAGGCAGAAGACCCCGGCAGGCCATTTGGAAACCTCCTGGTGACCTTCTCAAAAGATGTCCACATTTGCATCAAATCAAATGGAAATAATAATGAATCTTCTAATGGAGATAAAAAATGGCTTTTTGTCCCCACTGAAGAATACTGATTTTTTTTTTTAGCCCTCACCCAAGAATATGCTTATTGATTTTAGAGAGAGAGGGATAGAGAGAGAGAGAGAGCGAGCGAGAGAGAGACATTGATGTGAGAGAGAACATTGATCAATTGCCTCCTGTATGCTCCCACAACCTAGATATGTGCCCTGACCAGGAATCAAACCTGCAACCTTTCAGTATATGAGATCATGCTCCAACCAACTGAGGCACACTGGCCATGAGGGAGTATGCCGTTTTGATAGGGAAAAGGGTCCCTCAGATCTTTCTGTCTTAAGATACTTTTGAGTGATTTATGAAAAACTAAGTACTTTATAAACATATGCTTTAATTGAAAAGGAAATGATCCTAAAACATGACACATGAAAACCATGATCTATTTAATGGAATTTTTATTGTATGGCAACATATGTGACCGAGTTTTTAAGGAAATGTCATTTCAATCATTCCATCTCTGAAAAGAAAATTAGCTTTTGGTTTTCAGGGAAAGCCCTGGCATTTCATGGTTACTGTTTTGGAGGCCTCACCTTGAGCCACCAGGGCCTGGCACCCACCGTTCCTACCTTTTTCCTGTGATCCTGGTAGGCTTTCTCCCATGTGCTCTGCAGGTACTCACTTCTGCAGGGAAGTGTCAGCCTGGGTGCCCTGCGCATCGCAAACAGCAACACCAACCTGCTCCCTGCAGAGAGAGACTGGTTCAGGCCAAGGTGCTGCCCTGGAGAGGGCTGTGTTTGCTGGATCACATGACAGTTGCCAAGGCATCTGAGCTAAGGAGAAAGGGAAGCGTGCTTAACAGAACATTGAATATTCTTCCCTCAAATGAATATTTTCTCAAGAGATCTTGACTGGCTTAGTGATGCCATTTTGATGACCATCCCTTGCTTCTCCCATAATAGGTCAAAGAATTTCTCCTCCAACTAACTTTTCTCCTTCCCTTCCGTCCTTCTTTCCTTGCTTTCTTCCTCCTCTCTCCCCTTGTCTTTTCTTTCCCTTCTTTCTCATGTTTTCTCCTTCCTCTCTCCTTTCCACCCTTCTTTATTTCCGCTCTCTCTTATCTTTTTTTTTTTATGACCTAATAATCCCTTTATTTGGAAAACAACATTTACATGTCTGGTGCTTTGATCACAGGACAAAGTTTAAAAATGGGGCGTGCTTTGCAAATGTCTGAGTTCTGCTTTGAGTGGTCATTTCATCTTCCACTTTCATGTTTTTCTTGTGAAAGGTCCCTGCTTCCACGCCTCGGTCTAAGCTGAGGCTTGTCCCACAGCCGGTGCACTTTGTTGTCGTCAGGTCAGCGTTTACGTAAACCAGGCGGGGCTGGAAATAAGTGGTGTGTGATTGGCCATTCAGTAATTGTATGCTAATTAACGTGTCAGCTTGAACTGTTTCAAAAATGCTGGAGGATTCAAAACACTTTGTCAAGCTTTGAGAGTGAAAAGGTTTTGAGAAAACTCAGGCCAATATATGTGTGGGTAAAATAGCACAGTTGGAAAAAGTCACCATCACTATGGTATGTGTGGGTTTTGTTCGCTTTGGAAAAGCCCCCACCCCCAGGTTAATTCTATACTTTCAGGGATCATTTCTATAGTTTGTCACTAGAGAAGTCCCTCTGAATGTGTAGAGCACCCAGAACCATGAGGACAAGTCGCAACGTTCTCTCCTGAGTGTGAAGCCAGCTTTTGGTGTTGCTTTTGCAGCTGCCACCAACCATTGATGATCGCTCTTCTCTTCCACTGGGAGAGGATGCAGTCTGAGTGGTTTTTCTCACAGCTCTGGGGGGGGAGTCCCAGATGGAGGTGTTGGCAGGTTTGGTTTCTCTCAATGCTTCTCTCCTCTTGTTGCCTCTTTACATGGCTGTCCCTCTGTGCTTGTGGGTCCCCGATATCTCTCCCTGTTCTTATTAAGGACCCAGTCAGATTGGCTTAGCAATTAACTGCCTCATTGAAGCAGAATCTCTAAATACGTTTACATTCTGAAGTGCTGGGATTGGGAGTTTAACATTTGAATTTTGGGGGGACACAATTCAGACTGTAACCCATGGGACACACACAGCTGCAGGATCTCTTATCTTTTAATAATCCTATCTAATGATAGACAAACATGGTAATTGACCGTACCTTTGCTACACCTCCCATGGGCTAATCAGCATGATATGCAAATTAACCACCAACAAAGATGGCGGCTAATTTGCATACTGTAGGCAGGGTGGGACAGCGCCATCCCACCAGCCCCACCACCATCTGGGCCTGCTATCTGCAACCCAGGGCGGCGGGCGTCCGTGTGCGACCCGACCTGGGGCGGCTGGGCGGGGCAGCAGCGATCGGCCGGCCCGCCCGGGCGTCCCGTGTGCAACCCAACCTGGGTTGGCACCCCAACCCCCGGATCGGCCCTGCCGTGTGCGCGACCTGGGGAGGCAGGGCAGGCACCAAGGGATGGGGCCTGCCATCTGCCACCTGGGGAGCAGGCCTAAGCCAGCAGGTGGTTATCTCCTGAGAGGTCCCAGACTGTGAGAGGGTACAAGTGGGGCTGAGGGACACCCCGCCCACTCCCCTCCCCCGCCAGTGCACAAATTTTTGTGCACCGGGCCTCTAGTTTATAATAATTTGGACAATTCCAAATACTTTTATTTGCAATTTAGGTGGCAGATCTTCATTAATTTTTTTTCAATTAATTTGAGGATTAGTTATGGAAAGTTTTAGCCATTTTAAGCCCTTCCTTGCTGAGTGGCTTTTATCTAGTTGGGATGGGTTTTCTATGAGACAAATGAAGTAAAAGTCATGCTGGCATATCTGTTGAGTCATACAGCTTTGTTGAAATCATATGCATCATTTTGGAAATGACATTAGAAGAATTGGTTAACAACAAAGTAGCAATATTATTTTCATTTCAGAATTCTAATCTTCATGACATTACAGTATCCATTACAGAAAATGTTTTAGTGCAGAATTAGTGAATGGGAACTCATTGTTCAGTTGTGTGTAAATAAAGAAAAAGGGCATTTTATGAGAAATCGTGTTCCGCCTATTAGCATGATTCAGTGCCTGTCAGTCTGAAAGAGAATCAATCAAGCCTAAACTGAATCAGACTTGGGAAAAATAAGATGTGAATAAACAGAATATGATTGTCCCTTTTTCTGCTTTAGGCAGCTGAGTTACCTGTACTTTGCTGGTCTGATGATCTTCAAGACTTTGGCAAAAACCTTTGTAGGCTAACTAAAGTGGTTGATATATTGACAGTTACAAGACAGTTTGGGTTTTTCAAAGAACTAATTTATTTTAATTCAGAATTACCCACAAGTATTAACTTTAGAAAACTATGCATGTGTAGAAGATAGATGAAAGAATTACTACCAAAAAATACAGCCAACACTTTAAGACATAAGACTTCAGTAAGATTTCTTAGCCTACAAAATCTATATGTCATATTCAGAGGAATTCCATTAAAATAATTTCCTTTACCCAATTATTGTCATTGGTCAATTCCAATATTAGGTAGACGTTCAATAAATATCTGCTATTTTAATGATGATGGAAATAATGATATGGTTAATGAATGATTCCCCAACTGAGATGTTTTTGGTTCAGACTGTGGGGCTCGTTCTATATGATTCTTATCTTTCCATTTCCTGAATCCTCTTTGCCACATGTGCTGAGAAACTTCTGACAGTGCTCATAGTTGCTGCCAGTCAACTGACGAGTGGAGGCAGTGGTCTGTCCAGTTTGCTCACATTCATGTGGACAGACCAGGGGTTGAGGGCAAAATAGAAACTGGAGGGTTTTTTAACTAATGGGAGCACTCATAATGTGTTGACACACACATTTTTTTCAATGGCCCCTGTCAAAGAAGTGACCTCAATTAAGAGTCCTAGTCATCTATGTTTATTCTTAACTAACTAACCACTCAAATAACATTTGCTATTTGATTAAACTTGATGGTAGGGCCCCAAACAAAGGATCTGGAAAAATTTGTCATGTCCCCTCCTTCCCCCACCATGAACCGGAAAGACCATCATCGACTGCATGACCTGGGTTTCAGTGTACCGACCCTCACAGGCTCAAACTAAGTTTTGGTCCTTAACTGTGTTCTTAATGAGGTCAGGCCAGAAAAGTCAGTTAACCAGTATCTCTGTGGAATCTATCCTGAGGAAATAAACTGAAACACTGATAAGGATTCATATACATCAAGTAATTACTCATAAAAGTGGAAAATGGAAAAGTCTGGTGTTTAATTAATAGTAAGTATCCATGTTAAGTTCTACTAATGTTCTTTTCCTTATTCCAAGATTGAATCCATGATACCACTTTGCATTTTATGAATTTTTTATATTGAGCTGGGTTTGAACGTTTAATATCACAGTTTCTACTCATACCCTGCAGAAAATAAACAACAAAACCTATTTTTCATTTGATTATTCAGATAATAATTGTGTGTTTGGCTTCAGCCTTCATCAGTGTTTTGGCCCAACAATGACTTGAATATTGAGCTTATTAGAAATGTCCTGAAATATTACCAAGTGATAGGTATCCTGAATGTGTGAAGACCATTACATAGAACTAACTCTTGTATTGTTTATAGTATATGGTACAAAGCCTTTGTTATATACTATATATCCATTAAGCCCTTAATATTCATAATTCTTTCTGTGTGTCCCATGACTATAACTTTATGTTCAAGCTTTGGTTTTTATGTTCCTCTACCCTCCCACAAGAGCAATGAGATAAAAACAAAGCAACAGACTTCATTCTTATTCTTATTCCTCAGAACAGAATATATAAAGAGATCAATCAGTTGCCTTCCGTATGTGCCCCAACCAGGGATTGAACCCAAAACCCAGGTATGACCGGGAATCAAACCTCCAACCTTTGGGTGCACAGGACTATGCTCAACCAACTGAGCCACTCTGGCAGGGCTGAAGCAATGCAGTTTTAAGGTAAAAAACATGACAGGGATGTCCCTGTGACCTGCAAGAGGTGCTTTTAGTATAAATTGGATATATCTGTTGGGTATTTGATCCTAAGGAGCTCTAGTTGCCAGTAATTAGTAATGGTGATGTTAACTGTAGCCTTAGTTATGCAATCACTTCTCAAGAATGTTAGTCCTGAAAAGATTCACTGAGGTCTATTAATCCTACAAGAGAGGAAAAGCTTAGTACACAAACAATGGATTTTAGTGTTATTTACTTACCGCTAGTGAAGAGCTTTGCTTGCGATGTCCACATGATGGGATATAGTGCAACCGATACTATTACAATCAGAAAGATTGTAAACCCAATAAAGCAAGTACCAAATTGTTCCTCCTATAATATGTAAGAATCAAGTATGTCCACAGAGCTAGAAGACATCCTAGGAAAGTTAATTTGTTATAGGTGGAGATAAAAAGATTTTTAATTTTGAGAATGGATTTTACCATATTTGTGTGGTTAATTTTTTAAAAATCTATTTGATGTGCAAATTAGGCCTCGATCACACCATTTTCAGCCCACCCTCTTCTCCCTGATGACACTTTTCTTATCCAATGAGCTTTGAGAATTCAACTAATACATAATTACCACCCCTCCTCCTCCAGCCTGGCAACCCCCACTTACCCCTTCACAGGACAGAGTCTCTTTTAAAGCAAACAAGAATCTCCTTGGCTTCTGATGTCTAAACAGTGC